TTAGTAGTTTAATCATTCCAACAAAGCATTAAAATTGAAGAGAAGTCTGTTTATTCTAACCCTAATAATTGTTTCACATCAGTGGACTTCCTCCCAGATGTAATCTCTGCCATCCCTTGCCTTTTAGGAACACTATGGCTCTCTGAAAGGCCTTACCCTCAGCTGGATTGGGGATGGGAACAACATCCTGCACTCCATCATGATGAGTGCAGCGAAGTTCGGAATGCATATTCAGGCAGCTACTCCAAAGGTAGGGAAACTTGCTGTCTTTAAACTAACCTCCCCTTAAATTACCCCCAAATGCAATTTCCCAGGGAAAACAAACCTCTCATCCATTCAAGAGCACAGGTGAGGCTACAAAATTAGGTTATGTTAACTGTCCTACTATTATAGATTATTTGGCCTCTTGAGTGCCCAATTTCCCATCTCTACAAAAAGAGAATGTCTTGGCTGATGCCGTTGATCCTGTGAGTTTGTGTTACAAGCGTGTCTGAGTTATCCCTCTGAATGCCCTGAAACCAGCCAGTGTGATGACTAACATCTTTGTGCATTGCTACTGCAAAGGCTGAAAAAAGCAAGAAAATCCAGACAGCATAGAATTACCAAGGCACAGGGAGGATGCTGTCATTTTCTAAATAGCAGTCTCCCCTTATCCATGGGGGACAGGTTCCAGGGTCCCCACTGGATGCCTGACACCGTGGATAGTAACAGACCCAATATACAGAGGGTGTCAAAAAAAATGTATACACATTTTATGAAAGGGAAACTGGATTAAAATTGTAATACTCAATATATACCGATAAAAAAAGATGAACACAAGTCATGTTTGACTTCTGCAATTGCAAGAGGTGCTCAAAGTGGTTCCCATCAGCATCCAGACAGTTCTGATTACGGCGAACTACTGCTTGAGCAATGTTGACCAAAGCGTCCACTTGTATACATTTTTTTGGCACTCCTGGTGTATTATATTTTTTCCTATAATACATACCTATTATAAAGTTTAATTTATAAATTAGGCACAGAAGAGATCAATAACAATAACTAATAGAATAAAACAAGTATAACAATATTCTGTAATAAAAGTTATGTGACTGTGGTCTCTCTCAAAATATCTTGTTGTTCTGTACTTATTTTCTTCTTCTGATGATGTTAGATGATAAAATGCCTACATGATGAGATGAAGTCAGGTGAATGAGGCATTATTAATTAAAATAAAGCTTACTTGAACACAAGCACTGCAATATGGCAACAGTTGATCTGATAAACGAGACAGCTACTAAGTAACTAATGGGTGGGGAGGCTATAGTGTGTGGATAAGCTGGACCCAGGAATGATTCACACTCCAGGCAAGATGGGGGAGGGGGAAGGATTTCAGGATTTCATCATGCTACTCAGAATGGCCCACAATTTAAAACTTATGAATGTTTACTTCTGGAATTTTCCACTTAATATTTTTGGACTGTGGTTGACCATGGGTAACTGAAACAGCAGAAAGAGAAACTGCAGATAATGCTGGACTACTATACTACAATTTGATAGAAAAATGTCAATCCAATATGAAGGTCACAGTGATGGCATCTACACAAGCTTCGTGTTTCAAAACTCATCTCCAGGGACCCTTCAGCTTTTTAAATCCAAGTCCCATATGGTTGTGAACCTGACCCCCATATACCTCCAACCTTGCTGCTAATCTTTCATAGAATATATGGGAAGCATGACTTATTTCATAGGTCCAAAGTGACCCTTCTGATACACAAGAAACTGGTAATAGTTGTTGCTTCTGAGAAGGGGAACTAGGAGGTTCAAGGATAGTTGTAAAAGGATGGCTTTCTTTTCTTTTCTTAAAGATTTTTATTGGGGAATNTGTATTTGGGGAAAACAACTGTGAAGAATTAAGGAGAGAAAAAGCAGGACTAGGCGGGGAGAGCCTTCAGAGGGTTATGTAGGTCTGACCCCAGTGAAAGGAGAGGAGGAAGGAAGGAGCAGGATAGAAAGAACCTCAGACACGGTTACAGCTCTGAGAAATTCTCAGCTAGGCCAATGAGGAGCCTCAGAGCAAAGATTGCCCATCTTTTAGAAAAGTCCCATGTCAGGCAGAATGGTCCAGCTTTGGTGCCCACTCTATGCTCAGCCATTGGTGGGAACAGCCTGGGGAGAGCGTGGTCTCTGCAGGAATACTGCAGTGATTCTAAAGGTACAGCAGCTGGGGGTTGTCAGCTAACGGCACTCCTCCCAGAAGGTTCTCTCTTGTAAGGCAATCTGTGTGTGCACCTCTGTGGCTGCCCCACCTGTACTTTCAATTTTATAGTGAAAATGTATATTTGTCTGCAGAATGGAGCAAAAGAAAATTAGCCACATGCCAGGTCATTAATGTTTTTCTGTATATCGTGTTTCTGATCTTGTCCTTTTTAACTTTCCCAACTGCCATTTATCAATTATAATTCATCATCATGACTGTTAGGCCTGTAATTAATGTCTTATCTCTGTAAAAAAATAGTAAAATCAGTGGTCACTGGATATCAGTGGAACAACATCTGCCTTCTGTAATGACTGTCTGTTTCATATTAGCTTTTAAATCTGTCATGTTGATAGGTAGTTGTAACTTACTAAAAATTCTAATTTGTTAGCATGTTATTGCTGTTAAAGATCCTGTGTTAAAGAAGGAATTATTAAGCATAACTCACTTAGAATATCTTTCCTTGGTTTGCCGCAGTGTATTGTCTAGCATGACAGATGCAGTGCTGGCTCGAGTGTATAAACAATCAGACCTGGACCTCCTGGCTAAAGAAGCATCCATCCCCATCGTCAATGGGCTGTCAGATTTGTACCATCCTATCCAGATCCTGGCGGATTACCTCACGCTCCAGGTTGGCTTATTTCCTTGCGTTATACAAGAGCAAAATCAATAAATAGTTCTTGACCATCTGTAAATGCAACCATTTAAGTCATGGTATTGATGTTTTGTTTTCAAATATCATCTTGGCAAAGAATTATAGCATGTGTGTATAGTAGATAGCCAAGGAACAGGGCATTGTTAAAAACAGATGATAAGAGCCTTCTGNTGGCATCTCCCTCTTTTAGTCTCATCTTTCTCCATTCTTTCCTAACCTTGCTCCAATTATTTAAAGTTTTTTAAAGGCCTCAGTTTCTTCATTTATGGGGTTAAGATAATGTTTACATGTGATTCACACTAAATCTAGCAAAACTCAACAACACATTCAAAAGTCATGAAAACCGTAAGAAGTTGGCAGCCCATGGTCCTAGCTCACTAAAATTATTTGAGAGGCTACAATAGAAGTCAAATCTGTTTTTCTATGAGATTCCAGAAGGTCAACTGCAATGGTTAATCCAGATTTTTTATCCTATCTGTACACACTTTAGCAAGTGATGCATATTTACAGAAGTCCTTTGGGGTCAAACACCCCTCTACCTCTCTGTCTCATAGGATTTTAGGTATCATGAAATGAACCAATTCTTATGAAATAGGAAACTGATAATAATTACAGACCTTTTGGGGATATCTGCTTCCATCGACATTACTTTCTCATGATAGAGTTAAAAGCCTGCATTCTATAGTATGAAGCATCAGTATATCTGTACTGGGGAGGAAATTTGTATTAAGGTCTGGAAGAAAGAAGTAAAAATTTAAAATTATTTTAACACAATAGCCTATGCCTTAGGACAGTGGTTCTCAAACTTTGCAAGGTTATCTGAGTTACTTGGGAAACTTGGTAAAAGTAAAAAGACCCAGACTCTACCCTATTTTAGGAGCATGGACCTCTGTAGTTTGTAAGTTCTTCACTTTGTCTTGATACACACCCAAGTTTGGGAACCACTGCCTTAGGGCAGNTAAATAAATACCCCATCTCTACTGAATTGTTTTCCCCATTATGTTCTCATTGGCTACTAATATTCTATTAGGAGTCTTTTGAATGGAATACTCCCCTAAATAGAAACCATTTCAGAAACAAAGTGAAAGACAGAATTGACCCTGTCATTAAGAGACGACTATTCAAAATTATTGTGCACTAGTATGTTTCTGATCAAGCATGCATTTGCTGTTATTTCAGTAGTCGCTGCTGTGGTTAACTCTGATAAGCTAAGACATCCAGAGGTGACTATGTGAGTCTGGAAAATTCCTCCTTGCCCCTGCTTCTTGAGCTTGAGATGTTTATTTGTCAATCACTGGGAACCTGAATTACACAATGTAGATTAATAGCTAAATTTCTCCAATAGGAAATACTCAAATCCTTAAGGCATTCATGCACTCTGCACCCCCCCCACCCCTACTAGGGTTTTGGGCCAGGTTCTCCACAAAGAGACCTACCATGAAGATTGGTGTACAGGTGATTTGTTAAGGAAGTAATGCCTTGGTTTGCGAGCATAATTTGTTCTGGAAACAAACTACTCATATTGCAAGACATCGCTCATTTACCACGTTAAAATGTATTACAAAGGTTTGCTCATCTTGCGGAACACTCACAAACCATGTTACTCGCAATCCAAGGTTTTACCGTATTCCTAAGGCAGACCTGTAGGAGAATAGGGGGCACAGAACAGAGAAAGGGAAGAATCTAAGCAAGTGTGCCATTTACAGTGACCAACCATCCTGGTTTTCCTGGGACTAGGGATTTTCAGGGACATGGGACTATCAGTGCAAAACTGGGGGAGTCATAGGCAAACCAGGATGATTTGGTCACCCTGGTGCCATGTCAGGCACAATCCCACAGAAAGGAGTGGCAGTCTGATTCCACAGGTGCTCTGGAGTATAAGTTATGCCCCAGAGTTCTCCCAACCTGAGGCAAGGAAGGTGGGGTTTCATCCTGTGAGACAATAATACTTGGTCAGGGGCAGCAGGGAAATATGGGGTGGTAACTGTCCCGACACTTTTGCCAGAAAACGAAGCTGGGTAGCCAGAGGGTCATCAGAAGAAGAGCTGCGAGTGTTAGGTGTGAAAAGCATACTGAAATGGGGATAGAGAGGAAAAGTTGTAAAAATGGACCCTCTGATGGCATCTGGGTAGAGCATCAGCATTGTCTGCTGCACCCTGCCAAAACCAAACCAAACCAAACCAGAACAAAACAAAATGTTTTTCCCTAGTGTTATCACTGGACCAGTTTGAGTCAATGCACCCTGCAGCCTTAGTTTGCAAGGGCTGACATAACAAGTTACCACAAACTGGGTGGCTTAAAACAACAGAAATGTATAGATTCACAGTTCTATAGACTAGAAGTCCAAAATCAAGGTGTTAGCAGGGCCCCACTCTCTTTGAAGCCTCTAAGGAAGGATCCTCCCTTGTCTCTTCCCACTTCTGGCGGCCCCAAGCATTCTGTGGTTTGTGGCTGCATCACCCTAATCACCATCTCCATCTTCTTCCCTTGATGTCTGTGTTTCTCTTTATAAATGTCCCTCTTTTTATGAAGACCACAATTATATCAAATCTAGGCCCATCCTGATCCAGCATGACCTCATCTGAACTAATTACGTCTGCAAAGACCCTACTTCTAAATAAGGTCACATTCTGAGATTTTGGGTAGGAATAAATTTTTTGGAGGACAGTATTCTACCTAATACACTTGCTACAGAACAAATGATAGGCATAGGAAAGAGCATGCACTGGAAGCCACCCTATTATAGTAAACTTTGGGGACTCAGAGAGATAATGTTTACAATATCTGTCATTCAGCATGAACTGAAATAAAGGGTGAGATCTGATATGTGCTTAAGGTGGTTCTCCACTTTATGGAAAGACTTAGCACACTCTCACTACAAATCTAGTTTGAAGAAAAAAATCTGTATTAATGCAAACTAGTACTGCATTTAGTTTTAGTTTTTACAGATAAAACATACATTAACAATAATTGTCCCCTGCTATAAGGTTTTTTTATAAAGGCTTTATCCTGTTGCAAAAATATATGATTTAAACATTTTATTGCATGTCAGAGATGTTTTATAAGCATCAAAAGAAAATATTCCAATATGACAGAGTAATTTCAGTATTGTTCTTATGCAGAAACGCATTTAGATGATAAAGAATACTAAAACCTGATTAAAACTTGGTGGGAGAAAGAGTTTTAAAAAGTCTTCTGGAAAGTCTGATAGTGTAGGAGTTGTTCCACCAATTTATAAGTAGACCTATTTCCTTTAAAGATAAAGCTAAGAGATTTATTGTAAATTTAAGAAGCACTGAAAAGTTTCCAAGGCCATAATTAATCTATTTCCCCATTCTTCAACCAAGAATAACTTCCATGTTCACGAAAACATAACTTAGTCCTTGATTGCAAAACTTGCTCCATAAACTATTGATGGTAATGATTTTAACATTGTTCTAAGTGAATATTTAGGCTGAACTAGGTTTGTTAATCACTGTTGTCTGGTTTGAAGATTTATGTAAAAGCCAATGAGTGATTTAGTACTGAAAGCTGAGCTGTGAGTATAGAATTCCTTTTTGTAGTCTCGGTCATGGCCCAGTGCATGCAAGGCTGGGTGATTTTCTAATTTCCAAAGCTCTCTGTTGGTTCTCTAAGTACTTATTGATTCCTCTCTAAGAATGATTATACTTAGGGAGTATAAAACCTGATCTCCAAAGGGAAAGCTAAATTTTTAGGGCACATGAGGTAATAATAGCCAAGTGTCCTAATTTATGTTTACTAGTATGAATGGTCACAGCATTAGTTACTAAATTAGCAAGCCTTTATTAATTACTTCCCCAAATCCTGATAAACAAAGACCCAAAATGTATGACTATTTGAGGGTGGTAAGCCTGCTAAAATGTCGGCTGCTATCATCATCAATATATGAATAGTTTCTTTCCTCAAGAATTTTGTAATGAGAGAAGAAACTACGGTAGACAATCACATGCAAATAAACACAATTTCAAGTGAATAAACTTGAACATACCTGTCGCAGGTTGAGATTCCTGGGAAGCAGACTCTGAGACAGAGTTTAGCATGCAAGATGTTGACTAGGGCGTGCCCTTGAGATCAAGGCCTGTAGAAAGGAGGGAAAGGAAGCAGGAGTGAGCAGAGGGAGAAGCCAAGCTGCGATATAGGCCCAACAACTGCCAAGGGCTGACCTTATGGAGAGTTCTAGATCTGAGATCGCCATTCAGAGCTGTCCCGATTGGGAGGAGGGAGTCAGGTTTTCATACCTTTTCGTCAACCAGTCATGGAATGTAGGTTGCCCTGGAAGGGTATAGGACCTTGGCTGAATCGGCTTTCTGCAGCTGAGGCAGTGCCCAAAGAGGACTGACAGGTGAAAGTCATCTTCCAGCAGCATTCCCACTGCCTTTATTCATGAAGGGGGATCTGGGTGGCATACCACAGCATTCACCATAATGTCCTACTGAGAGTTAATAAAAACCAACTCATAATCAGCACTAAGAATTCAGGAAAATGAAATGGATGAAGGAAGGTTAGAATAATTATGGTGTTTGGACTGACAAGACTACCATATGGAGGGCCTGAAGGTGAAGCTGGGCTAGAGTTTTGACAAAGGAGGAGCTGACATGTTTCAATGAAGACGCCCAGAAGAGGACAAAGAGGGAGGTGAAAGGCTGTGATGGCAGAAAAGGGCAAGACGTGTGCAGGGATGACAATAATATTGGCTTTCCTGAAGCAAGACGTTGAGAAGAATTAAAAGGGACAGAAACAGGGGATGTCAGTAGGGAGCCTTGAGATTCTTAATCAGCTTTGACTTAAGAAACAAGTAATAAACATTGAAGGCTTCAAAGAAAACAATTCTTGCTGCTGTGTACAGAACAGATTAGAAGGGAAAGATGGAGGCAGAGGGGCTACCTGTTGTGTCTGGATAGCTTAGGGGGCTTTCACTGCTTCCATAATATCCCCTCACTTAGATTTGAGACTAGGGGGAGCAAGCGAGACACCTATGGTGCAAAATTTGTGCTTTC